GGATGGTATATGGACTCAGAAAGAAAACTGATCCTTCCAAACGAATTGGGAGGGCACCTTCTCACACACCTCCACCAGGTAACTCATTTAGGAGAACGGAAGATGTCGGAGTTATTGAACAAAGAGCAGATCCTCATGCCCCATCAGAAGCAAACAGCTCAGAGTGTGGTGGACCGGTGCCGGGCCTGTCAGGTCATGAGGGTAGAAAGAGGAAGAACACACACACAGGTACAAGGAGGAGGGGGAGGGAGCCTTGCCGTCATTGAGAAATAGATTTCACTGAAGTTAAACCAGGTAAATATGGATACAGATATCTCTTAGTGTTAGTGGATACTTTCTCAGGATGGGTGGAAGCATACCCCACTAGGAGGGAAACAGCCATGATAGTAACCAAAAAGATTTTAGAAGAGATAGTACCCAGATATGGAATGCCTAGAACGTTAGGGTCAGACAATGGACCAGCTTTTGTAAGTAAAGTTATCCAGGGCTTAACCTCAACTCTGGGGATAAATTAGAAACTGCATTGTGAGTATAACCCTCAGAGCTCAGGGCAGGTAGAAAGAATGAATAGAACTGTAAAGGAAACCCTATCTAAATTAGCAATAGAAACTAGCGGGGACTGGGTGACCCTCCTCCCCTTTGCGCTATACCGAGCTAGGAACACCCCATATACACTAAACCTGACCCCATTTGAAATAATGTATGGGATACCACCCTCTATTATTTCCAATTTGGAAGAATGTCCCAATAACTTATCAAAAGATTTAATCTTGGAAATGAAAACTCTCCAAGTAATCCAAAGGGAATTATAACCCAAACTCCGGGCCACATATGAAGATCCTCTTAGCGAACAAGGGATCATCCATGAGTTCGAACCAAGAGATTGGGTATGGGTAAAGAAGCACCAGAAAAAGACACTAGCACCTAGATGGAGGGGACCTTATGTTGTTGTTCTTGTGACCCCCTCTGCTGTTAAAGTAAACGGAATCAGCACCTGTATACACCACTCCCATATCAGAAGAGCTAACCAAATGGAACAGCAGTCTGCACAAGCGGAGTGGAAAGCGTACTCCGATCCTGAAAACCAGCTGAAAATCAAGTTAATGCAGCACCATGGAGATTAGAGCCCTTCTCGCCCTCACCCTAAACCTCTACCACCTCGCAATAAGTATTGCAACTCACCAACCCTATAAAGTTACATGGCGAATCCAAAATGAACTAACCCATGAGACTTTGAACTCCACCACCAATACCACCCCCTTAACGTCTGGTAACCTGACTTATTTTTCTCCCTCGCGACCCTTACTAGCTGTTCTTGGGATGAAAGTTTTATCCGTAAGACGGGTTTTTTTTTGCATGCCCTGGGTACAAGAAAAACGTCCAGCAATGTGGGGAGCTCATTTGGTATTACTGCAGAAGTTGGGATTGTGTAACTTCTAATGATGGGGAATGGAAGTAGCAGGTAAATATCCAGGACTATGTAACATTCTCCTTTACCAAGCCCAGATGTACTTATGTGTCAGGAAAATGTAAGGAATGTGATTGGATAAAAGTCTCATTTACTGAGCAGGGAAAGAAGGAACTAGCTAAGTGGAAATCTGAGCTTACTTGGAATCTCCAAATTTGGTATAGGTGATATCCCTCTGGGGTAATAACCATTGTACAAGAAATAGAACCTTTAGATATTAAGTCAGTGAATCCAAATAAGATGTTAAACCCTCCAGAAAAAGGAACCATACCCCCTACAGGGAAGACGGTGAGAGAACCAAGCACTGTAACTCCTGAGGTTACAGACCCTCTCTGGAATTTAATGCTAGCAACCTATCAAACACTTAACCGTACTAACCCTAACTTGACTCAAACCTGTTAGCTATGTTACGATGCAAAACCTCCGTTTTATGAAGCAATAAGCATTAACACCTCTTTCAGCTATTCTCATGACCTGAACCCAAAGAATTGCTCTTCAAAAGACCATAAAGTAGGGATTACTATACAACGTGTAACAGGGAAGAGCTTATGCATGGAGAAACTTCCCAACACCCAAGAGAGTTGCACCTCATACATTAAAATAAACCCATCCTTTAATTGGATTATTCCCAGGGAAGGGGGTTAGTAGCTTTGCTTGAAAGCTGGACTTTTACCCTGTTTAAACTTGAAAGTACTCAATATGTCCTCAGATCATTATATGCTGGTAACTCTCCTGCCCCGAATTCTTTACCACCCAGAGGAAGAGATGTATGTGCAATGGAGCGGAACCAATAGAGAAAGAAGGGAACCACTCACTATAGCTCTTACTCTAGCTACTCTGGTTGGCTTGACAGGGACCGGTCTAGGAAGAGCTTCTTTAACAGTACAGAATCAAAGCATGCATTCCCTGAGGGCAGCTATAGACGAAGACCTTGAAAGAATAGAAGACTCTATCTCAAACTTAGAGAAATCCCTAACCTCGCTGTCGGAGGTTGTGTTGCAAAACCGCCGAGGGTTAGATCTCTTACTTCTCCAAAAGGGGGAGCTGTGCGCAGCACTGAAAGAAGAATGCTGCTTCTATACCGACCATACGGGAGTGGTCTGGGAGTCCATAGCCAAGGTACGGGAAGAACTTACCCTAAGAAAACGGGAACGTGAAGCTCAGGAAGGATAATTTGAGTCTTGGTTTAATAGCTCCCCGTGGTTAACAACTTTAATATCTACTCTCTTAGAGCCCTTCATAGTCCTTATAATCATATTAACTTTTGGTCCCTGCAATATAAATAAGCTTATATCTTTTGTAAAAGATCGGGTTAATACTGTACAACTTATGGTTCTGAAGCAGCAATATCAACCTTTATCTCCTGTAATACAACAGGATGATTCCTCGTGTATATAACAAGAAAAGGGGGAAATGTGAGTCTGAGGCCAGAGTCCTAGTAACCTCCAGGAAAATCTTTAACCAGAAACCTTTTAGTGTCAGCAATATTAACAAGACTTTTGGAATTCTAAACACTCCTTAGGG